CGGACCGCTTCCGCTCATCCCCGGATACCACTGGGCTAACGCCACGGTGGTGTCATTAAAGCACAAAATATATTATTTATAACAAATTTTCTCCCTTTTGAAAATGACAAGAAAACGTATGGGAAAACAATTATTTGTAATGTGTTTATAAAAACAAGAGCATGAATTGAAAGTAAATATTTAGAAAAAGTATTAGCGACTATTTCTTCCAAAACGGCCACAGTATTAAATCCACAACTAACCTAGACTAATCATGGACTGACCAGGATATACAAAGATAAATAAATTGCAAAGTGCAGAAATAGAAAACTTACTTTACCGGGACCCATGGCAATCACAATTACATGCACATGAGCAGTGATGTTCGATTTCTATCTAGACTGGTTCAACAAAATGAAGTTAAAAGGGTGCCTGACCGTCGCAGTCTCGCGTTGGTGTCAAGTCCTTTTAACCTCGGCCAAATCAAAAGGAATATCTTATAGTCACGCGAATAGCGGCTAAAGATATTTCTTTACGATTTTTTAAAAAGAAATTTCGGGGAAAAGAAAGGCAATCTCTACATCGCAGGCTCGCGTTCGAGGTCGTATCTTTCTCAACACCATCCTAAAATGTCCTATCGCGGCCCAGGTCTGGCGGCATGGTTGTGTGTGCAACAGTGTAGTGCTAAATCAGGAAAGCATGCATAACAATTTATAAACAATCAATTTGAACCTGCAAGAACAAATAACACCTTAATGTCAGGGTCATACCTAGAGTCCTTGCTGCCAAACAAAAATTATTTTTGAACAAGATAAAAATTTTGGCTTAAGTCCACTTTAAAAAAATGCAAGTCCCTAGCGGAGTCGCCAGTCTGTCGCGACCGACCTCCCGCTTTTTTAATCGACATGCAAAAAGGGGGGTCTCGCCTGGTACGTGCTAAGTCTAGGTTCGGGACTTAACTCGGGCTCTCCCAAGCCCATACCATATCGCGACTTAGGGTTTAGGTTTTTTAACATGCGAGTAGTTTATATCGAGGAGTCGCCACTAATCGATTTGGGGTTGGTCGATTAGAAACCCAAATAGTGTGACGGGAGGATCACCCTATTCCTACGAACCAGAGATTAATTGAGTTCGGGGACTTGGTTACACTAGTTGGATAACTAATGCCCTTTCGGTACCTTTTTACCCTGTTCATTTTTTAAAAAATTTGTCAGGCAATTTGGATTGATTTTAGGACATTTCTCCTAAAATGTGAGGTGATCAAGCGAGTGCATAATCATAAACGATCAGCAGTCAAAATAGATATGCAGCCTAAGGTTCTAGCCCTAATTAAGTCAAATGACATTCAAAACACAACAGTTCATGCAATTGTGTTTTAATTAAAAACATGTATAATGATAATAATAAAACAGTAGTAAAAACATGCAAAGTACTACTGCATAACCCTATAGGCTTATCTAATTTAAACATGGCAATTTATGCAATTATAACAACATGCATAATAATACAACAATAAATTAAAACACTCAGGCATATCACATAATTTAGAGAAATTTTTTAAAATAAATAAATAAAGGAAGAAAAAAAAGAAAAAAAAATTTTAAAATTTTTATAATTAATTTTTTTTAAAAAATAAATAAAATAAAATAAAATAAAAAGCAATCAGGTTGGGTCGCGGATCCGGTCGGTCGGATCCGACCCAGGGCGTTGACCCGGGTCGGATCAGCTGATCCGGGTCGGGTCAGTTGATCCGGGTCAGAACCGACCCGGGTCAACAGATCCGACCCAGGGCGTTGACCCGGGTCGGGTCAACCCCGCGTGCACAAACACGCGGGGACGCCGGCGCAGCCAAAATTGGCCTTCCGCCGGCCGACCCAGACCGGCGCCGACCGAAACCTAGCCTCTGGGGATCACCACCAAGCTTCGCCACCCGCCTACGTCGCCGTCCGACCGCCTGCTCGCCGGCCGGCGACCGAATCAAAACCGGCCTCGTTTAGGCATTTCGTCGAACACCTGGCGTACGTGACCAAAACAAACGGTTTTCGACCTACCTCGGGGATCCGGCGACCTACCTTACCTTCGACGGTGACACACAGACCCTAGGGGATGACGGTATGGACCGGGATTCACGCTAAACAGCCGGCGTGAGTCCCGGCCAAACCAGACATAAAAACAGGGGCGAACGGGGCAACACTGAGGCCGAGAGAGAGCTCACCGGTTGACGACGTGTCTGGGGGATTCCCGGCTGCTCTGTGGGTGATGACGAGGTTAATAGGACCTGCAAAACACACAAACCCGTCCTCTTTCTCTCTCTTTTCTCTCTATTCTCTCTCTGTTCTCTCTCTCTGTTTTTTTGCTCAAACCGACCGAGAAAGACCGCCCCCCTCTCTCTCCTCTCTCTGGCCTGTATAGGCGACGACGACGCTCACTCTCTGCTCCGTTGCGTCTGCTGACGACGGTCTGCACCAGCCTACGCCCCTTGAAGACTTTTGTGGCCATTTGTAGGCCGATGCAGGGGGGTCGGTTCTGACGCCATGAAGAAGAGAGGAAGAAGGGGGAGAGCAGGCCGGGAATTCGAGGTGGACGGGACTGGCCATCAATGCCAGTCCCGTTGGCGTGCTTCCTTGGCCCTGCTCTAGCCAGATAAGGACAGCGCGGGGCTGCTCCGCCGCTCGTCGCTCTGCGTCAGCAACAGAGGAGAACAGGGGAGAGAAAGAGACAGCCGGCGGGGGAGAAGGAAGGAGGAGAAGGGAGCTGGGCTGAGCCGAGCCCAGCTCGCGCGGGGAAAAAAAGGGCAAAAAGAAAGGCGGGCTGGGCCCATGCGGGGGGGAAAAGGAAAAAAGAAAAGGGCCGGGTCGGCCCGGCCCCGACCCGGCCTAGCTCGAAAATTTTTTTTTAAAAAAAAAATTTGAATTTTTTTTAAGTTCTAATAGACCCTATTAATACAAATGTGCCTAATTTCTATATGCAATGCATTTAAATTGAAATATTTTTTGTTTTAGGAATTAAAGAAAATTAACTCCTAAATTTTGTGCAATTAATTTTGGGCAAATTAAAATAGGTGTCAACAGTACACTTTAGCCAAAACATGTCTAAAGAGCATAGACTTGCAATAAAAATTTTATGCCACCACTGTTTATTTTTCTAAATATAATAGACTTTTCTTTTGGCTGAATAAATATAATTGACTTGATTTTGTAATTGAAGAAACTCCTAGTGTAAATTAGACTAAAGCATATAAACTGTTACATTAAGTGGGTCAATAAGAAACTCATGATTTAACGATTGAGATCAAGTAGCTTCACACGTATTAGGTGTATGTAAAAATCTTTTGAGGATAAGTGCACAATTCACTTCAAATCATGGCCCAGGACGGCAGATGCCTATATATGCTTATGAAGGTGTCTCATTTCATTGTCCCGCTAAGTTTGGAATTCTTCAAAAGCATGCTTCTTGTCCACGCTGCACACTATGGCTCACTCTTGGCTCTCTCTTATCATCTCCTTCATGTTGTCCACAGCTACAATTTCTGGACAGAAACTTGACACTCCGACGCTGAGTCTACACCGCAAACATGTCCTTGGAGATCCCGATCGTGCACTTTTGGCGTCCGTAACAAACGATTTTGAAACCTTCTTCTTCAATCAAACCCATTGTTTCATCAAACAATGGTGACTATGGTGACTATCCCCATTGTTTCATCAAACAAAAGGGCAACATAAAAATTTAAGAATAGTTCAAAAATCACCATTGTTTCATCAAACAATGGTGACTATGGTGACTATCCCCATTGTTTCATCAAACAAAAGGACAACATAAAACATTTAAGAATAGTTCAAAAATCACATTGAACGAATTAAAAGTCCAAGGATGATCATGCCCAGTCGGCCAAAGTTTAAGAACTTTTTGTATCATTTTTCCCTATGTTAAACTAGTCAAATAGTCGTCGTTGGAGAATTCAATTAAGTCAATCTCTTCTCGTCTTCAACCTCACCTTTTTAAAACTAATCAGTAATTACATAGTCGAATTACCCTATATTCTCATAAGAATAACTTTTCCCTGTTTCACCCACGGCCACTTATTCAAGGTAATCTCTAGGCTCCTCTCTTCAAGGACACATATTCCCCATAAATTAAGAAGAGCGTTGAATTGTCAACATGGGCACCGAGTTAAAATAATCACATAAAACGTTATAAGTAGAAAGTTCTTCGTAAGACCCAAGGAAAAAGCTTAGTTCTTGACAAATGACAGCGTAGATTGACAAAACGAAGCTGATACTATAGTCCCCAAACATATTTACTGAAATAAATATGACACGTCCCTCGTGTTTTTCCTTAGCGACATATGGAAAACACTCGGATCGTGTTGTGCCGGTCGATGGAAGCTCAATTCATGAAAATTACAAAAAGTCAATTGTCCCTGTCCTTATTGAAGCCCACAACGTGAAATCGACATAAAGAAAAGGGTTATTAACCCGTTGATTTCGATGAAATCAATGAAAGAGACCCCATATTAGTTATCACCATTTCTACAAAAAAAAATCATCATCATATGCCGGCTTGTGTTTTACTTGGTTTGAACTAGTCCTTCCCATCAAGAGGTTCTTGAATATTACAAGACCCCAAAAGTTGCTAATTACTTACACTAATACATTGTACACTTTAGCCAAAACATGTCTAAAGAGCATAGACTAGCAATAAAAATTTTATGCCACCATTGTTTATTTTTCTAAATATAGTAGACTTTTCTTTTGGCTGAATAAATATAATTGACTTGATTTTGTAATTGAAGAAACTCCTAGTGTAAATTAGACTAAAGCATATAAACTGTTACATTAAGTGGGTCAATAAGAAACTCATGATTTAACGATTGAGATCAAGTAGCTTCACACGTATTAGGTGTATGTAAAAATCTTTTGAGGATAAGTGCACAATTCACTTCAAATCAGGGCCCAGGACGGCAGATGCCTATATATGCTTATGAAGGTGTCTCATTTCATTGTCCTGCTAAGTTTGGAATTCTTCAAAAGCATACTTCTTGTCCACGCTGCACACTATGGCTCACTCTTGGCTCTCTCTTATCATCTCCTTCATGTTGTCCACAGCTACAATTTATGGACAGAAACTTTACACTCCGACGCTGAGTCTACACCGCAAACACGTTCTCCGAGATCCCGAACGTGCACTTTCGGCGTCCGTAACAAACGATTTTGAAACCTTCTTCTTCAATCAAACCCTCGATCATTTCAACTACAGACCAGAGAGCTACACTACCTTCAAACAAAGATACTTGATCAACTCCAACTTTTGGGGCGGCGCGAATTCTAGTGCGCCGATCTTCGTTTACCTCGGTGCCGAAGAGCCAATCGATGGATCCCCGAGTGCAATCGGGTTTCTAACAGATAACGCAGCTCAATTCAAAGCTTTATTAGTTTATATTGAGGTAGTACATTTGAATTGTTTTCTTCATGAATGTTCTTGTTGTCTAACTACAGCTTCTAACAACGAAGTCAAATTCTTCTCTTCTTGTGGATTTTTTCATGTCAGCATCGGTATTATGGTGAGTCAATTCCACTTGGGATGAGCTTCGAAGAAGCTCTCAAAGATGCAAATGTTCGCGGGTATTTTAACTCCGCCCAAGCTTTGGCCGATTATGCAACCATTATTATGCACGTTAAGGAGGAACGAAACGCCAGTAAATCTCCAGTTATTGTGGTGGGAGGATCATATGGAGGAAGTAAGTGCGATGTGTATTATATTCTATCAATATGAAAAAAGTTGAATCAAATTCCAAACTTCCATCGCGTGTGGTTGAAGAAAATATGAGAAGGTTAAGAGGTTTTGAACCAATGGTATAATTATTATGTTAAATTGATGAGTCGTTAGTACCCTTTATTTTCAATAACTCACTTTCATGAAAAAGATTATCATCTCGTTATCTTAACTTATCAAGGTTTAATAGATAATGCCAATTTCAGTGCTTGCTTCATGGTTCCGGCTAAAATATCCACATGTGGCCCTCGGAGCTCTAGCCTCATCAGCTCCTATACTGTACTTTGACGATATTACCCCACAAAATGCATACTATTCAGTGGTCACCGAGGATTTTAAGGTAATTACACCCGCAATTCCTCTTCTTCTTTTTGTCCAAATAATAGATTGCTCGGCACTTTTGAAGCATCGAAACAGTATCAATTGGTTGAGGCAATATCCCTATCTTCCCATCTTACTCACACAAGGTAATTACACGAGTACAATATTCATGCTCCTAGGGCATGGCATCTAGATAATTCAATGGTGTGGTTATTTGAAACCATACCTTAAGTGAGAAAGACATACCGACTTATCACCGGATCAATATTTGAAATCTTAATTTCTATTCTTTCTTTTTCATTAATTGTTTGTGTCTTTTGTACAGGAAGCCAGCGAGACTTGCTTCCAAACTATAGGAGACTCGTGGTCGGAAATCGATAGAGTTGCTCAGAATCCTAATGGTCTTTCAAACTTAAGCACGATATTCAAAACATGCGGGTGTGTGGCCTTATACGCCATCTATTATGTGTATTAATCCCTAAAAGAGTGAAATGCTAGGAAGTATATTTAAAGAATAGACTCAATTTACCTTTTGAGATCATGAACCTAACCTACACACAACTCTTCCGTTCGGTGTGATGTTTCAAGATCTTCAAGGCTAAATTGAATCTTTAAGAACTTCTATGAATGTTAATTTACTAAGGAGACTCAATCAATCAATCATGCATTAACTCCAGCTTATTTTGTGTGGATGAGTTAGGCCTTTGGAGAGTGGGGATGAACTGAAGAACTACTTGATATCGATGTACATAGGAGCAGCTCAATACGATGATCCACCAATGTATCCAGTGACAAGGATATGCAACGGCATTGATGGAGCAAATACTACTGAAAATGGCATTCTTGGCAAAATATTTGCAGGCGCCGTTGCCTATGAGGGGAACTCCACATGCTACTTCAATTCTCCCACTAATGGGTCTCAAGCTAACGTCAACCCTCCCACTGATGTATCTGAAACTTCGTTGGGTTGGGGGTGGCAGGTACAATACTCTCCATCATTTATCTTTAAGCATTAGAGGAGGCGGATGGGTCTCGAATATTAGGGCGGGTTTGGATATTGCATCTCGATCTCACAGGTGGATTTAAACCAGGCTGAATTGAATTTACTTCAAAGTGGACGGGGTTAGGAAAGCAGTTCCCTTCGCGAACTTAAGCAATGGCTTTTGTCCCAGTACTGGAATCATCATGTCTATGTCCAGGCTGATCCAAGCACGCTCATTGATCGGGTCTATTTTAATTGCACAATCCCATTCTTGAAAGCTTGCTCGCGAAATTGGGTAGCATCTAAGAAGACTTACACTTTTGTTGAAGTAAAAGGGAGATTTACTGGCAGGTGTGCAGCGAGATGGTATTCCCCATTGGCATCACAGACAATCCTATGTTCCAACCAGCGCCTTTCAACTTGAGCAGATTCATTGATGACTGCAACCACGAGTATGGTGTTGCGCCTCGCCCGCATTGGATCACTACCTACTACGGTGGTCAAGTATGATTTCAGATTACTCTTAGAAATATATGTTTGATTCTTATTTCTATCAGTAAATTAAACTGGTTTTTATGCAAAAATTCAAAACAAACCTTACCACCGTCGTCCTCAACCTACTTTTTTTTTTTTGGCAGGACATAGAGCTAGTTCTTCACAGGTTTGGTAGTAACATTATTTTCTCAAATGGACTTCGAGATCCTTACAGTAGCGCCGGGTATAAAAATACATGCTTATTTCCATACATTCGAAGTATTAAAATTTCCTTTACTTAATTACGCTTAACAATTTGATCTCTTTTTTAATCTTAGGGTCCTGAAGAACATTTCAGATAGTATCCTCGCTGTCTATACAAAGGAAGGTACATAGCTAGGCAATTATTTTTGTTGTTTGTGATTTGTTTTACGTACCCGTAAATTACTCAAAAGAAGGAAACCTATTCAAATTAGAAATCTAACTTGAATGTCGAGAGTATATTAATAAATTATTGATTACTCGAGCATCAAACCACAATTCCCATTTGAATTTAGATTTTTACTTTGGTCAGGTTTGTCCAAACTCGAGACATATTAATGATTATATGCATTGTAGGTTCCCATTGTTTGGACTTATTACCACAGATGCAAACTGATCCAGACTGGTTGGTCATGCAGCGAAAAACCGAAGTTGAGATTATAAAAGGGTGGATAGCGGAATATTATGCTGATCTTCTTGCTTTGAAACAATGATATGATGAATTGCTGTTGCCAAAAATATGGGTGATGAATTGATTCAAGAAGACCATTTCAGTGACAGATGAGAACACAAGACTAAGTCCTCCGTATCTTACCAAAAAGTTAATGCTTGTACTTTCTTTGCTCCATTAGAACGAGCTCTTAATCAAGAAAAGCAAAATGACTTCGCCCAATTTTATGTTTTGAGTCATGTAATTCACAACATGCTTCCAATTAATCGTTGGACTCTGGCAAAACATTTGAAACTGCTGGTGTTCTTTATTGATTAAGCATAGATTTTCATTCTATTTTGATGTTCTTATTCTTTTGGCAAGGGTTTATGGGACCTCGTTCACTAGAAGAGCTTAGGATTAGTTCAATTTCCCCTCCCCATGGCAATACCTCCTGGGCATTTTCATTGGACAAAAGGACACAATTAGTGCCATAACTTGTGTACGGAGATCACTTTGGTGCCATAACTTTTTTTCGGATCACTTTGGTGCCGACTTTTTTGAAAAACGATCACTTTAGTGCCAATGCTGACATGGCTTGCCGGAAATCCTACGTGGCGCTGACATGGCTCACCAGAGAGGTCCAGTCAGCATTAAAAACCAAAAACGACGCCGTTTAGTCCGCTGACGTGTACTTTTTTAGAAAAATAATATTTATATTATATTAAAAAAAAATCAAACATTGCAGCAGCGGCGAGGGCTCCCTCGCCGTTGCTGCTGCCACCCCACCACCGCCGGGAAAGGCTGGCGGTGGTGGGCGGAGTGGTCGGCGAGGGTTGCCGGCCCTTGGCCGGGGCCCGGCGACCCTTGTCGAGAGGAAGCGATCACCGTTGCGACCAAGACGATGGCGAGGTCGGCCTCGCCAAATCTGGCGAGGCCGACCTCACCGTCGCCTGGGTCACGACGGCGAGGTCTCGCCTCGCCCAGCAAAGGCGAGGCCGACCTCGCCGTCGCCTGGGTCGAGGCGATGGCAAGGTCGGCCTCGCCTTTGCCGGGCGAGGGGAGACCTCGCTGTCGTGACCTAGGCGACGGCGAGGTTGGCCTCGCCTTTGCTGGGCGAGGCGAGACCTCGCCGTCGTGACCCAGGCGACGGCGAGGTCGGCCTTGCCTTTGCTGGGCGAGGTGAGCTCGCCCAGCCAGGGGCCGGCGGGGCGAGCTTCACTGGTGGCCGACGAGGTCGGCCTCGCCGGCCCTCCCCTCTGGTCGGTTGCCGAACTGGCGACCGGGAAAAAGTTAGGAAAAAAAAAGGTTAAAAAGATTAAAAAATTCGAAAAAAAGCCACATAATTTTCACGTGTGCAAGTCAGACCATTTTTTTTAAAATATAAATGCCACATCAGCTTTTTGGCCGGAATTTTGACCGGAGTCACTAAAGTGATCTATTTTCCTCCGATTTGGCACCAAAATGATCTCCGTACACAATTTATGGCACTTCTGGTGTCCTTTTGCCATTTTCATTGACATTATAACTCACACGCAATGAAAAACTATCGAATGTTCTCGATTGCACAACTCCCGCATCTAAACTTTGAGCTAGAAGAAAATGCAGTTTCATTCCAATATCAAACTAAATCTACATGGCCGATTTAGTTGTCAAAGTGATTAAGATTGGCAAAAGGACACTATAAATGCCATAAGTTGTGTACGGAGATCACTTTGGTGCCATAACTTTTTTTCAAATCACTTTGGTGCCAAGTCGGAGGAAAAGAGATCACTTTAGTGACTCCGGCCAAAATTCTGGCAAAAAAAAAGAGCCACGTCAGATTTCCGGCGAGCTACGTCAGATTTCCGGTGAGCCATGTCAGCATCGGAAAGTAATAAAAAAAAGAGCCACGTCAGATTTCCGGCGGCCATGTCAGCATTGGCATTAAAGTGATCGTTTTTCAAAAAAGTCGGCACCAAAGTGATCCGAAAAAAAGTTATGGCACCAAAGTGATCTCCATACACAACTTATGGCACTTATAGTTGTTGACACCTAAATTTTGATCGACCATTTAATGATAATTTACATAGAAAATTAGGGATTAAATTTTAACCCCTAAATAAAAATATTAAAATTGCATAGCATATAGTTTAAGTTCATATAGGGTTAGTTGCATTCCGTATCGGATCGGCGGTGGCGAGAAAGCTAAAAATTCATTGCGTAAACCGAGCTCGAGCACTCGGCTCACTCAAGGGATTGGGGGCCAAAATTCACAAGTCTAAAAGGCTTTGGTTGTTTTAATTTGAGCTTAAATCAGCCTGAATTAATTTAGCTCATTTGGAATTAAAATAAAATTAAATGATAAAGCCTAAGTCTAAGCCCATTAGGACTAGGAAGCCCGGTTAATTAACCTAGAGTTGCGATATAAATATATCGTTATGCGTCATAATCAAGGGGGCTCTCGTAATTTCGGAAATTAGAATTTTTTAGAGGAGACAATTCAATACACGGCCGAAGGAGGTGAGAGAGAGAAAAAGATGGCCATGAGATTGAAGGAGGGAAGATCTCTCTGAAAAGTCAAGGTTTGACACAGAGAGGAAAAAATAGAGAAAAGTCTTTTTTTTCTGGAGTTATTCACGCCACCACTGAGAGGAAAGCAGGAAGGAATACACGGCCACACCAAGGGAGAGAACGCTAGTGAAAACAGAAAAGAAAGCCCTTCTTTTCCTTGAAGGACCTGTGTCGCTGCTCGGTCTCTGCGACCGAACTTCATGCCTTTGCATCACCACGTTTCTGACTTTCTAGCGTTTCTTCAAGTGTCCTCGATCGCTAACTAGCATCTCGAAGCGAATTCCGGCAGATTTCAAGGTGAGTTCCGAGAAGTTCCCAATCAAGTCTCCTCTGTCCAGCGAGTTCCAAGCAACGCGGGCGAGTCCCTTTGCACCGTTCCAGCTCCGACGAAATTCCAGCACGCCCGTACCGGCAAAGCATTCTGTAGGCCATCTCAACGCCTCGGGCGAGTTCACGGTCTCGACCAATCTCGTGCGGCCAGTCCAAACGCAAAATCAGTCCCTTGGGTGCAACGAGTGGCGAGTTCAACAATCTCCTGCAGCAAGTGGAGTGCTGGGCCGAAGAGAATAACCAAAGAAAAGTCAAAGAAAGAGTCCAAGCGGTGGAATCTAAAGGACAAAGTCCTGGTCAAAGGAAGGAAGACCATTGAACGTGAAAGGAGTCTTGATCACGATCTGAGCCAGCTTGATTTGAGCCATCTTGCCGCCGCTGTTTCCCCCCAAATCGACGTCGTCGTTGCTGCCGTCGTCCGTGAGCCCAGCGCCTAGCTTGCCCTTGCGCCGCCATCAGCCATCCGCCGTCGATCACCGTCCCGATTCGCAAGCCTGAGTCCGATCCGAGTTCGAATTGGAAATATCCACAAATTAGGTAAGATTCTCATCTATATTCTTAGAATATTAAATTTCCTAATCTTTCGGGTGTTTGAATATTTCGTGAATAGTGCGTGGATTGCTAGATATCTTAGGATGATGTGTGCTATATCTGTAATATTCGAAAATACCCAAAATTAGGAATCATTCCTAATTTAGCAACGTATCTGGACGACTATCCGACCTTATCCCTAAGGTATGATACGCGGCGATACGAAAAATCGTTATCTTATCCATAATCACTTGGATACGATAATAGATTTTATTTGCTTTCCAAATTTAAACAATCAACTTTCTGTTGATATCTATAACCCTATAGATATGACCGTTAGTTTGATTTTTTTGCCTTATCTGAATTTGAAGAATCTTGCGGATTGCGTGGATTGTTTGAATGTGATTGTTATCTTCGTTTGATTATTTCTTTTAAAAAGAAAATTCCAAAAAAAGATTAGTTAGGATTTGAATTAATCTTATTAGAAGATAATGATGCATGTTTAGGATAGGTTTAAAATAACTTTTTTTGAATAAGTCGATAGGATGACTTTTTAATTTAAATTAGGAATTAGAGTAATTTATTTCCTAGTTTAATTTAGATATTATCCTAATCTCAATGGTTCATTTTAGGGTAATTCTTGATTTCGAATTTTCATAAAAATACCAAAAAGAAGTCACTTTAGGATAGATTAAATTATCCTTTTTTAGAATAGATTGCATGTTAATTTAGGCATTTTTTTAATTCCGAAATTCATTCAAAAATAAATCATTTGTCCGTCATTAGAATTAGGTCACGTCGTTGCATGACATATAGTTCGCATGCTAGGTTGCATTAATCGCATGTTAATTTTTGCACGTCATTACATATAGGTTAGCTTTCATTTAAATAAGTGAAAATCCTAAAAAATATTGAGTGAACTGCTTGTTAATTAGAAATCATATTAGGATTGTTGATGTGATTTTCAAGCTAACAATGCAGATGCTTGCGTTGCTTCGAGGTAAGTAATTCTCCCAATCTTGCAATTTATTTAATGTTTTGATTATTGGGTATTAAATTGGTGGCTTGCGTACCCGCATGAACATCTCATATGTTAGTGATTAGGTAATAAAATGGATCCAGACTGCATGCATAAACATTTTTTTTGAAAAGAAAAGGTACCGAAAGGGCGTTAGACTAGATCTAGCGTAATCAAGTCCCCGAGCTTAGAATCTCTAGTTCGTAGGAATAAAACATATCTCCTAATATTTTATTTAGGTTTCTAATCGACCTACCACAAATAGATTAGTGGCGACTCCAAGCATGAAACTTTTGTATGTTAAAAATTTAAACCCTAAGTTGTGAATTGGTAGGGCTTGGGAGAGCCCGAGTTAGGCTTAGTCTTAATAATCCATTAGCCTGAGAAATTTAGGTCGCGACAATAGTGTCCTTTTGCCGATTAAGATTGCTATAATCTCCACTTAAGACCACTTCATTTGGAACTTCTCATTGTAAATTTCCCTAGCGCAGTGTAATTGACCTGTCCATAGTGTGCACAAACTGGTTTATAAAGTTTACGTCACTTGATTACGCTTAACACCCCTCTTAATTTTCTCCTGCGTAATTTTCCTGATATCATATCCGTTTTCTTGTTCTCCTGTTATCATCTCGAGTTACAATTCACATACTATTTTGCATGTGTAGAGAACCGGTTGACACGCGAAGGGGAGTATTAAGTAAAATGGTATTTATACATTATTGGCCCTTCCTAACAGTCTAAACTTTTTGCTAAAACAATTTGAACTAACAATCATATTTATTCCAGACATTGCATTAGGTTAATTTTAGTGCAATATGATATACCATTACTATATTTACGTGGCAAAAACCCAACCAACAATAATAGGTTTCTGTGACCATAACGCGGAAAACCAAAACGTATAATTTCAGTGAACAAAACTAAAGGTTGTACAACTTTTAATAAGT